TGTTGGTAGTTGTTCACTACAACTTACCCGCTATGTTTTAAGCTGACAAGGTTTGTTGGTAGTTGTTCACTACAACTTACCCGCTATGTTTTAAGTTGACAAGGCATGTTGGTAGTTGTTCACTACAACTTACCCGCTATGTTTTAAGTTGACAAGGCATGCTGGTAGTTGTTCACTACAACTTACCCACTATGTTTTAAGTTAACAAGGCATGTTGGTAGTTGTTCACTACAACTTACCCACTATGTTTTAAGCTGACAAGGCTTGTTGGTAGTTGTTCACTACAACTTACCCGCTATGCATCATTCAGAAAAAGTGTAGGCTCGTACCTGATTGCTCTGTTTTTGTGTCACATGACACCCTTTGTACTCGGTTTGAGATTTCCAGATCCACAGCTCCGGTTTCCAGCTGTACAGCACTTGAGGTAGGAGTTGTAGCTGTGATCTGGATACCCTGTATAAGATGAGTAAAATCAAATTTTTTGCAAAATATCAACTAAATAACTAAAACATCCTTATTTAGGAAAGATTTGTGAAAAAATTAGCAATGTTTTATTTTAGGAACCACCGGAGGTCCAGGAAATGGAAAAGCTCCCTTAAATTAAAATCAATGAGACATTCTTGTAAAGAAATACATGTATATTTAATTAGAACTATGTGACCCTGAGAATAGGTCAAGGTCATTAACATGTAGAAGAATTTTAGCATTGTTGCCATAGGTACCTTATTGTCAAATTTCACAAAGCAAGGTATTTCAGTTCTTAAGAAGAAGCTGTTCCAGGAAAAATTTGATGACAAAGAAAGGTCACCCCACTAAAAGCTCAAACGTGTGATCTAATGGATCTCCATACCATTGCCAAACAGAAGGTCCAGAGGGCCTGTATTGCTCACCTTTTTCTTTTGTGACATGGAACTGACATATAGGTAACTTCAGACCAAATTTGGTAACAAAAACACAAGACATTTAAATATCTCTTAAATGCTTCTTAAAATACTGTTGTTTGAAATTTGAAATTTTAATTTCAAAGCTTTTAACCCACTTTGACCTTTGACTCTGGCTAGCAATTAAAGTTGACCTTTGACCTAATTACTGTAATTAAGAAAAAGATTTGAACTGCTGGTCTACATAACATACCCAAGTATCATGACTCTAGTCCAAATGTTTCTTAGGATATTGTTGTTTAAAGTTTTTAACATATTTGACCCCAGTGACCGTAAACGCAAGACCTTAATGTTGACGCCGTCGCCGGAAAAGCATTACCTAAGTCTCACTTCCACTTGTGGCAGCGAGACAAGAACAGCAGTGCATTGGGATAGGGATCCTTAAAAATAAAACAAGAATAGTAATGAGGTCGAGAAGGAAAAGTTCATTTTACCTTGAACCTAAAGAGCAGAGAGTAGAGCAGTGATTGTTCGGGTTCCTTTGGCGCGGTTTCTTCCCCCGTCCACAGGGGTACTGGCTGGTCTGACCCGGATACCTTCTGAACCAACTCATTCACCTCCTACAAATATATTAAAAACGAGATATGAAGTACATGAATTGATTAGGCTGCAACATTTTAGATAATTTATAACGTTCGTTAATCATATATGTATTATTGGGGTCAAATTATAAATCATTGGACATGTGCACAAAGCCATTTAACTTTGTTAATGAGTATGACACACATGGCAGCCGTCATGACTATATTGTATATTTATCTGATTATCTTATTTTAGGTAACATTTTCTCCTTTATACTAAATTACAAATATATGCTGAAATGTACAGAATTCCGATATACTGTATTTAACATGATAAGGGTGCCTGCTCTAATTTGACCGTATTTAACATGATAAGGGTGACTGCTCTAATTTGATCGTATTTAACATGATAAGGTGCCTGCTCTAATTTGACCGTATTTAACATGATAAGGGTGCCTGCTCTTATTTGACCGTATTTAACATGATAAGGGTGACTGCTCTAATTTGACCGTATTTAACATGGTAAGGGTGCCTGCTCTAATTTGACCGTATTTAACATGATAAGGGTGCCTGCTCTAATTTGGGTGCCCAAAGTTATTGTAACAAGAGAGCCACAAGAGTCACTAGTGTTGTGATCTAGGTACTTTTTAAGAACTGGAAATAATATGTATGAAAAGAAAGGCTGTTAATAACCCAAAATGTCAGCAACAACAATAACACACTAAAAGTCACTGCAGTATGTTATATAACCATAATGATAAATAATAGGTTTTTGTCATTTTTTCAATAATCATCTCTACCAAGAGGTTGAGTTGTGTTTCAACAAGAACCTAGCTAAGAGGCTTTAGATATTGGACTGTCTGTACATTTCAATTCAAACCCAATTCCCATTATCCAAGGTCAAAATCATTCAGAGAATATTGACGAGTTATTAGAAAATTCTGGTGGATTTTATGCTGCTCTCGTGTCCAGGCAATAAGCCCATGATATTTCAGTGAGATGGCACTTCAGCTATTGTGAGAATGTAAAACCTTTAAAACACATAGAAAATATTGAATGAATTTCGTACCTGAATGACATTTAGAGGTTATCATACGAGACCTCGACCATACTTTGTAACAGCCCAAAGAGTCGGAGACTCAAGGGTGGAGATGGGTTGTGGGCCGGTGCGGGGTATGGAATTGGTCCTATTGTAGTAAGAAGGGTGGAGATGGGTTGTGGGCCAGTGCGGGGTATGGAATTGGTCCTATTGTAGTAAGAAGCTACAAGTTATATGAATGTTAATCATAAGGTTAGCCTGCAACATCAAGTGTAATCTACGATCAGACCAACAGTACGCAAAATATGTCCATATAGCAGCTTAACCAAGTGTAGACTGCATTCGATATTGTCACGCACGACAGCATACAGAGAAGTCGGCCCAACCACCTTACAAGTGCATTTTCACAACAATATCATACCCTTTTGATCATATACTACACAAGGTAAATATTTTTGTACAACATCAAAATCATCAACAATGAAAACAAAGTGGGAAGAGGCTCACAGCGACATCCCCCCTACCCTTTCCCACCCACTGTGCCCGTGACCACTATGAACTAAATGTGTTCAGGAATTTATGAGATATCTAGTACATGTAGATAGACATAAGCTTTTTAATACAGACAGGCAGATGTACAGATAGAGGCACACACAGATATACCTGTGTAACCCCTATCACTAGACGGGCAAAGTGAAAATTGAAATGTCACATATAGGCAGATATGAGTTGGTCCAGGATATGGCCTATGTAAAGCTGGCAGTATCACGCGTGCAAAACAATGGATCAAGGACCGATATATGATTATACACAATTATCACATTGGCTCAGACGGTGATAATAATTTTGTTGATTCCGATACAAAACTGTAATTAAAGCATAGTTCATGCAAAGGATCCAGCAAAAGCGCTATCCCCTTCAAAGTCATATGATGATTATTAAATCAATGTTAAATTCCATTATGTAAATTGTAAGAGATGTATTTGTCAAGCAGCCCTCAGATGTTTTCATCAGTCAGGTCTTGTAGAGGTACGAATAATCGTCACAATATACACCAGCTGAAAGCTGTATCGCAGAAGTTATTTTCTGAGCGAAAAAGCCGACAAATGACAAACAAGAACTAAAATTCAGCAACGATTTAAATTTTCAAAAACTATTCAAACTTGTCTTCAGTGACCATCTTTGGAAAGTCCATATGGTTCAAGTCTCTAACTGCAGGTGGTCTCTCAACACAGGTTCAGTTTACATATACATGTCTTCATTGGGAGTTTTAAAAGAGGTCTCTCAACACAGTGGTCTCTTCATAGAGATGGTCTACTCAGCAGATTTGACTGAGCAACCTTTTGCAGACATTTTATCTTAGTGGTCTTGACAGCAGCACAGTGTACTAAAATCTTTCAACTGTAACTGAGCAAGATCAGGTTATCTCAGTCAGGGCTAAGATTCTGTAATATAATCCCAACTGAAATGTAAGCCTAGATAGGGATGTTACAGAATCTTTGCTTGGGAAAAACACCTACAATAAAACCTTGATATACTGCCCCTCGTTTCATTTGTCACCTCATTAACCCCCAGCTTATTTCAACGTCCCTTTTTCTTGTTTTCCTCAGAATTTCTTAATACATTTCCCTCAATGCATAGCCAAATCCCTTATAATGCTACATTTTCTCTGGACAAATTGTGACAGTTTAACAAAATTTTACTGTTCATTGAAATGTGGATATGTTGATTCCAATCATGTATTTTAAACTGCAATGAATTAATGTCAAACCTGTATGAAATGACCACCCTCAGAAAGCCAAAAACACTGTCTCTTAATGAAGATGGTCTCTTAATTGATAAAAGTTAAATTCACAATGAAATCCCGCCAATGGGGAACATTAATAGCGATAATTCTGTTGCAGTAATGCAAAGAAATACCTGCATGTGTTGACGTATTTATTATAATTACACCTCAAAAGAGGTTCTAATTTGCGGCCATCTGGATCTATTAAATCTGGTAAGTATGATTATGTGATAAACACATAGACTGACAGAACTGACAGAAATACATCCTCCATTTTAGGTGCGGCACATTCTTCCTCCTTGCCAATGACAGTCAACACCCAGGACCAGCTACTAAATACGCCTTAGGTATAGATTTTACCACAGACGATCAACAATGTCATTTGGTATCGGAACTGCTGTCTACCTATAAAGTGATGTCCTAACAGAAAAGTGCAACTCTCAGGTATTCAGCAAAAACTTTGGTACCAGAATTGAATTTTCTTCTACAAGGAACAATGTTTTAACTGACCTTATTACTTGTGATGAACTGCCTCTTGTACCTGAATTTGGAGAGTGACTTTAACTTAGAAGAAGTTGACCTCTACAAGTAACCGTGTGTGAGGTCAGTGCACTATATAACTTAGGTCAGAGACTCAACAGTGACTGAGTATAGTTATTGGATTTACCTCTATAAGGATAGTGTTATAAGCGACCTGGTTCTACGATTTTATACACTACGACTTCAAACAGAGATTTCAGGACTTTTGAGTTTGAAATCCTCATCAAGCAGCGTTTTAAGATCAAGATATGGCGTTTTAAGATCAAGATATTGGTAAAAATCTACTACTCTCTGCTCTGATATTCAACAGCAATTTTAGTATCAATACTAACGGAGGCTTACGGGTATTAGATACTTGTAAATGTGTTGTGACTGATATTTGACAGTGATTTTAACAGTAAAATTCAATTGAATATTTCGGGCCTCTAACTGGAAGATTATGATTGGTTGATACACCATCAGAGCAACTGAGGATATCTAGGATGAATTGAGGCAGACCACGTTCATGCATGTCAGTATCTTGTGAAACTCTGTTAATTGACAGCATGCATGTCAGTATCTTGTGAAACTATGTTAATTGACAGTGTTATTGAAATTGTTGAGAAAATGAAAGAAAAACTACAATGCGTCTCAGTTATCGTAAATTAATTTTAAATTCAGACGACAGAGTTTACAAATAAAAGTCCCATCTTCATCGTGAGTTAGGAAGTTTTGTATAAAAGATCCAATTTTCATCTTATTGTGAATGAGTCTGTAAAATCCAGTCAATCTTTCAAGTTTTTAACAATGATAAACACACTGTTGGCCTCCATCTTGTTTATTTTGGTGGCGATTTGTAACTTGATATCATTATCAATCTTCTTACGATGCCGGCTGATGATGGCGCAGACCCGCATGCTCCTGTTAGCTTTGTCGCAACAGGCAGTCGTGTACAGCATTCTTGCTAAGCTTTCCTGTATCATCATGTTGGTTCGCAAAAATCCTGTCGCCATCCCTTGTCCGTTTTTCCAAACTGTGCTTTCTGCAGGAGTCATGACCCCTGTGGTCCTCTCGACTTACATGACTTTGGACAAGTACATATCTTTAATATGGCCGTTCTGGCATGCCCGAATTGTTACACCGAAACTTACCATCATGATCAGTGCTTGCCTTGTCTTCAGTATCTTCGCCCTGGGATGTGTTTTCCTAGCCCAGATATATCTGGCATCCGATGTTTTGGAAAATGGGGAATGTTACAGGCCAATGTTCAAGAGCAATATCGAAGTGGTAGTTGAAGTAGTTGTGCTGACGCTTTGCATTGTCCTGGCAACCGGATGTTGGATCGGAATAATCCACCACACCAAGAAATATACAACTAGAGTCATGCCCAGGACGAATTCTAAAGAAAATATCTCCCGCTATGTGGAAACATTTCAGATGTTGATCCTCATCTTCAGCGTCAACTTTGTCCAGTATATGACGATGATTCCTATATACATTGTCGACATCCTAAGAATCATCAACAAGGAAAACAAAAATCTTGAAATAATCCATACAAAAATGAGCATTGCCTTTTTCGTAACCATCCTGGTCAATCCGATAATTTACATATTCAAATTTCGGGAATGTCATTACCACGTCCTCAAGGTGTTTTGTTTCTGTAGCAACAGACTTCAAGAAAAAGCTGAGCGTTTA